CAACCTCGTGTTTGGCTCGCGGTTGTGGCACGGCTCCAATGGGACTAATACACTGGAACCATCAACCTTGTGTTTGGCTCGCGGTTGTGGCACAACTCCAATGGGACTAATACACTGGAACCATCAACCTCGTGTTTGGCTCGCTGTTGTGGCACAACTCCAATGGGACTAATACACTGGAACCATCAACCTCGTGTTTGGCTCGCTGTTGTGGCACGGCTCCAATGGTACTAATACACTGGAACCATCAACCTTGTGTTTGGCTCGCGGTTGTGGCACAACTCCAATGGGACCAATACACTGGAACCATCAACCTCGTGTTTGGCTCGCGGTTGTGGCACGACTCCAATGGGACCAATACACTGGAACCATCAACCTCGTGTTTGGCTCGCGGTTGTGGCACAACTCCAATGGGACCAATACACTGGAACCATCAACCTCGTGTTTGGCTCGCGCGGTTGTGGCACGGCTCCAATGGGACCAATACACTGGAACCATCAACCTCGTGTTTGGCTCGCGGTTGTGGCACGGCTCCAATGGGACTAATACACTGGAACCATCAACCTCGTGTTTGGCTCGCGGTTGTGGCACGGCTCCAATGGTACTAATACACTGGAACCATCAACCTCGTGTTTGGCTCGCGGTTGTGGCACGGCTCCAATGGTACTAATACACTGGAACCATCAACCTCGTGTTTGGCTCGCGGTTGTGGCACAACTCCAATGGGACCAATACACTGGAACCATCAACCTCGTGTTTGGCTCGCGGTTGTGGCACAAACTCCAATGGGACCAATACACTGGAACCATCAACCTTGTGTTTGGCTCGCGGTTGTGGCACGGCTCCAATGGGACCAATACACTGGAACCATCAACCTCGTGTTTGGCTCGCGGTTGTGGCACGGCTCCAATGGGACTAATACACTGGAACCATCAACCTCATGTTTGGCTCGCAGTTGTGGCACGGCTCCAATGGGACCAATACACTGGAACCATCAACCTCGTGTTTGGCTCGCGGTTGTAGCACGACTCCCAATGGGACTAATACACTGGAACCATCAACCTCATGTTTGGCTCGCAGTTGTGGCACGGCTCCAATGGGACTAATACACTGGAACCATCAACCTCATGTTTGGCTCGCGGTTGTAGCACGACTCCAATGGGACTAATACACTGGAACCATCAACCTCATATTTGGCTCGCGGTTGTGGCACGGCTCCAATGGGACTAATACACTGGAACCATCAACCACGTGTTTGGCTCACGGTTGTGGGCACGGCTCCATTACCTTGGATGGCAGAGTTGGACCAGCAGGGCCTCTTGTAAACTCAACGTGCCACAACGTAACGCATCACAGCATGTGACCAGCCCCTCCAACCGTACAGGAAGCTTTAGGTGGACCATCGAAGGAGGTAAAACCCCTCACTTTGTAGAGATTTCTGTCCTCTTCCTGTAGTGTCTCTGGAACAGGAAGGGAAGGGAAATCTCCTCAATGGGACAAGAAAAGAATTCCTAAAAAGCAGTTTTTTCTCTTCCCTACTCTCCATCCAAAATCAAAGAAAAGTTTGGCTTTACATAGACTTTACCTCAGCCACATTCTTCTCCAGGGAATGTTATATTCTCTGTCCAAAAGGCATCAAATAAATTCTGAGATTTCCCACATATTACAGACATTACGGGACGAATCGTGACTTCTACACAAACGCTGAGATGTTCCTAAAGTGAATGTATTATAATTCGATCTCCATCATCGCTCATACTAAAGAATAGTACAGATGTATCCATCGTCTTCTGTGTCTTCTATATCACATGTGACCTCTGTAGGACCATCCTGACCACAGGAAGCCTTGTGTGTCCCCATAAAATGATGGAGGTGTTCCATCGGTGTCACAAAGTTCTTGTGGAATGTGATGAGGAAACAACAACCTCTGATGACGGGGAAGGTTCTGGAAGTTTATTGAGAAGAGAAGAGTTACAAAGTAAAAGTCAAGATTAGAAAGTAGAGAGATGAAGGTGTGCGGAGATCCTTAGACATGGCAGGTGGACCAAGGATCTGACCTCTTCATCCAACCCGAGGCTTTTCCCCTCCAATCCTGGACAGTTGTCATGGAGGAGCGTCCCAAACATCCACATTTTACAGATGAAATCATTCAGTGAAGAATTTGTACAAGCAGCTCATCATTCATCACAAGAGACATTCATTTGTGTTCTCTCTGAACACCTGATCAGCTTGTCCCACCTCCAGACTCCCAAATCCCTCATTGTAGAAGAAGGAGACCAACTGTCTCTATGTTCCACAACAAGACCTTCCAAGGATCCGGAGATCAGCAATTTGTTCTAATAACATCTTTCTGTAAAGTCATTCTAGACAGAGAAGCTGTTATTATAGACAGAACCCAAGATTAGCATATAAGCACTTAGTCCTGTCATTCCATCATTAGTAATCACATCAGAATGATTTCTCTTTATCAGATGAATGGGGCCATAGAGGAAATGGAAACATTGCTCGGCTCCATGTGGATCATAGAGGGGCCGGGACTGGAGGGGTTAATGATGATTGTAGTCATCCTCCAATCTGTCCCATCATTGTATCTATATCCAATCATTGATCAATATTTCCATACAGGGGCGGACTGACAACTCATGGGGCTCCTGGGCAATAGGGGATTATGGGACCCCTGTGTCCTTGCCTAAACTCAAAAAAGCCTATGAAAAAGGTACCAGGGCATCTCATGGGGCCCCCTACTGACCCCGGGCCCTTGGGCAGTGCCTGAGTTTCCAAATGGTCAGTCCGCCCCTGTTCGCATATACAGAGCCGAGGATCTCCACTTCCTGAGACTGTATACCCCCCCATCACCTGTACACAGTACCCCACCCCCAACATGGCCGGAATCATCGCTTATCAATCCCCGCCCCCTCTATGCCATAACCAATAAGAACAAGACTAGCACTGGCTGTATTCATAGTGACACTCATCACAGCCAATCACAGTGAGGGGGAGGGGCAATCACAGACCCATGGATTGGTCATGTAAAGGAACCCATGAGGACAGAAATGTAGGAATTCTCATTGTGGACAGTAAAGTGTGTCTAGACAGAACCTACAGTCAGGTCCATAAATATTGGGACATGGACACAGTTCTAACATTTTTGGCTCTATACATCACCACAATGGATTTGAAATGAAAGGAACAAGATGGGCTTTAACTGCAGACTGTCAGCTTTAATTTGAGGGTATTTACATCCAAATCAGGTGAACGGTGTAGGAATTACAACAGTTTGCATATGTGCCTCCCACTTGTTAAGGGACCAAAAGTAATGGGACAATTGGCTTCTCAGCTGTTCCATGGCCAGGTGTGTGTTATTCCCTCATTATCCCAATTACAATGAGCAGATAAAAGGTCCAGAGTTCATTTCAAGTGTGCTGTTTGCATTTGGAATCTGTTGCTGTCAACTCTCAAGATGAGATCCAAAGAGCTGTCACTATCAGTGAAGCCATCATTAGGATGAAAAAACAAAACAAACCCATCAGAGAGATAGCAAAAACATGAGGCGTGGCCAAAACAACTGTTTGGAACATTCTTAAAAAGAAGGAACGCACCGGTGAGCTCAGCAACACCAAAAGACCTGGAAGACCACGGAAAACAACTGTGGTGGATGAGCGAAGAATTCTTTCCCTGGTGAAGAAAACACCCTTCACAACAGTTGGCCAGATCAGGAACACCCTCCAGGAGGTAGGTGTATGTGTGTCAAAGTCACCAATCAAGAGAAGACTTCACCAGAGTGAATACAGAGGGTTCACCACAAGATGGAAACCATTGGTGAGCCTCAAACACAGGAAGGCCAGATTAGAGTTTGCCAAACGACATGTAAAAAAGCCTTCACAGTTCTGGAACAACATCCTATGGACAGATGAGACCGACATCAACTTGTACCAGAGTGATGGGAAGAGAAGAGGATGGAGAAGGAACTGCTCATGGTCCTCAGCATACCACCTCATCAGTGATCATGGTGGTGGTAGTGTCATGGCGTGGGCATGTATGGCTGCCAATGGAACTGCTTCTCTTGTATTTATTGATGATGTGACGGCTGACAGAAGCAGCCGGATGAATTGTGAAGTGTTTCGGGAATATTATCGGCTCATATTCAGCCAAATGCTTCACAACTCATTGGACGCTTCACAGTGCAGATGGACAATGACCCAAAGCAGACTGCAAAAGACACCAAAGAAGTGGAATGTTCTGCAATGGCCAATCACCTGACCTGAATCCGATGGAGCATTTCACTTGCTGAAGACAAAACTGAAGGGAAAATGCCCCAAGAACAAGCAGGAACTGAAGACAGTTGCAGTAAAGGCCTGGCAGAGCCTCACCAGGGATGACACCCAGCGTCTGCGGATGTCTATGCGTTCCACACTTCAGGCTGTCATTGACTGCAAAGGATTTGCAACCAAGTATTAAAAAGTGAAAGTTTAATTTATGATTATTATTCTGTCCCATTACTTTTGGTCCCTTAACAAGTGGGAGGCACATATGCAAACTGATGTAATTCCTACACCGTTCACCTGATTTGGATGTAAATACCCTCAAATTAAAGCTGACAGTCTGCAGTTAAAGCACATCTTGTTCATTTCATTTCAATTCCATTGTGGTGTATAGAGCCAAAAATGTTAGAATTGTGTCCATGTCCCAATATTTATGCCAAAAATGTTAGAATTGTGTCCATGTCCCAATATTTATGGACCTGACTGTATTGTTCTAGTATTGGGTGAAGGGGGAACAAGCATGCAGCCAGTGAAGCCTGAAGAATCTGCCCACCTGCATGCTTCTTCATGGTGGGTGACACACTAGGGAGTAAAGTGAGGTTTCGGATGAAGATGATGGTCCTGGAATTCTATAAATGAATCAGTAATCTCGTTTCTTGTCCTCTGCTTCCTATTGGCTAAGTATTGCACCAATCAGATTCTCCGCCCTGTGATGTCACTAGTCACTGGGCAGATTTCTCACTTCGAAGTCCCCCCAGATATTGTTAGCTGACCTTCCTCATCTATATATACCCCGGCATGGAGGGGCTCGGTGAAGGTGGTGGTGAAGGTGTGGAGGTGTCGGATCGGGTCACACAGATCATAGAAGGAGATCCGCCCGGCCTCATAATCCAGATCTATCCTGACTCTGGTACTGGCGCCATCACTGGAAAATGGGATCTCATGACTGTCATGTATGACCCAATACTGGTCATCCCACCCCCACCCCTTCAAACACCAGGACTTCTTATTATATCCAAACCTTGACTGACCTCCTCTCCGGTCTATACTGGGGTAACACACCCCGACTATCCAGCACCCTGACCCCCCGACATCCACTTCCCAGTAATGTCTCCCCGAGGAGAACCCCTGAGTGCTCATCACCTGAGGCTCATCCAGAAATCTCTTTGGGTTCTCTTCTGACCAGGATACAGTTTTCCCGTCACCTGATATGTGTAGATGATGACCAGCTGTCCTCACATCCAGTGATACGTCTGTAACCCCCGACACCCCCCCATGTTTGCTGTACAGCCCCAATATTTGGTCCTCCAGCCTCATGGTGTGAGTGTTGTATGGTGGGGGAGGGTTGCAGACGTGGCCGAAACAGCCTAGAAATTATGTTACCCTTGCCCTTTGTAGTAGACTGTGGAGAGACATGTGTGCCTGTAGATTTCTGTACATTGACCCCAGACATGATATCAGATAGACCCGTGTGTAATGTGTGTGAGATCCCCACCACATCCCCTCCATCATGGAGGAGGTTCTCATGTCTCTCTCTGTCCTCATCATCTCCATCCTCAGTATCCCACAAGTCACCTGTGTCTGATTCCTGTAGGACAGTCAGTGGATCCGTCATGTTACACAGCTCCTCAATGTCCCTCATCTTCCTGGACAGCTCCTCCTTCTTTATTTCCAGATCCCGAATATAATCCAACATGGGACAGGAGACCCGTTCTGCCCACCCAGAGATGTCCCTCAGGACTCTCTTCTCCAGGTCTTCCAGACGTCTCCTGAGGTCTCTGAACAGGTCAGTGACTCTCTTGGTTTCATCATCTGCTTTTCCTTGTACTTTCCTCCTGCGTTCCTGCAGACTCTTGACTCTTTTCTCCGTCTCCTCTCTCTCTGTCATCAGTTTCTGCAGAACATTCCTCAGTTTCTTCTTCTTCTTCTCAGAGGCCTCCTCCAGAGTCTCCACCTGGTGTCCCCGATGTTCTCCATCCACCCTGCAGGACATACAGATACAGGAGGAGTCCTCAGTGCAGTAATACTCCAGGATCTTCTTATGGACGGAGCATTTCCTGTCCTCAAGGGAAGTGGTGGGGTCACATAGGACGTGTTCTGGTGACTTGCTGTGGACTATCAGGTGGTTGTCACACAGAGAAGCTTCACACATCAGACAGGATTTCACAGCCGGTACAGGAGTGTGAATACAGTAAGTACAGAAGACCCGAATGTCCTCCTGATCTGGATGGGTAGATGGGAAGTTCTCCACTATGTTACGTAGTTTCAGATTCCTCTGAAGGACGGGACGTCTCTTGGACCATTGCTTACATTTAGGACAGGAATATCCTCCAGACCCCTCCTGTGTATCCAACACACGGCCAATACAGTCCCGGCAGAAGTTGTGTCCACATTTCAGGGTTACGGGATCCGCATAAAAGTCCAGACAGACGGAACATTCCAGATCCTTCCTCAGATCAGCAGATGCCATCGCTGAGAGCAGAAGATAGAAATGAGATTAAAGTCTCTGACACTCCGTAACCAGTGTGACCTGTTCTGTACACTCCTACATGGGGTGAGGTGACAGTTCTGTACACTCCTACATGGGGCGAGGTGACAGTTCTGTACACTCCTACATGGGGTGAGGTGACCGTTCTGTACACTCCTACATGGGGCGAGGTGACACTTTTGTACACTCCTACATGGGGCGAGGTGACAGTTCTCTACCTCCTGACAATACCCTCCCTCTCTGGGGAAAAATTAAGGTCATCTAATAATCTGTGGAAATCTTGTGTTAAGAATTTCCTTCACATTTCACGGAAAAGGAACATGCAGGCTCTGGTCAGACACCACCTATGGTGGAGGAAGCAGACTGCACCTTCCTACATTCCCCTCTCTTTAACAGATGCTGTCCTTGGCATCCCAACATGGAACACCAATAACAATAGTGATGAAAGCACAAAGTATGGTTAAGGAAGAACAATAAACAATTTCAAACAACATAATCAGAATATCTTGCAGAGAGCTGCCAGAGGTTAGACCATTAAAGGCACAGGCTCCCTTGATTCTCTGCAGGATCATTTGACAAAGACTCATCTTCAGGTCATGCCTCGGGGGCCTCAGGTGGTAAGGGACCAGACATGTTCTCTGCTTTCTCCTCACCTGTGCCCAAGGTCAAATCCTCGCACAAATCAGCACAGTTTGTGGTACTAGATGGGCATCTCAGGCTCTTAACACCAGAACTGTCAGTCTCTGAATTAGGAGAGGCTGGAGACTCGAGCATGAGGCATGGCTGGAACCAGTCAGTGGGAGCTTCATGCACCTGGGGAAGATCGGAAGCGTCAATTGCTTTCTGGTCTTCAGCAGGCTTCCTGGATAAGTCACTACCCAACACAGAAGGTCTCAACATATTTTGGTGTAGTCGCTTCTTTGCAGGGTAGAGCCCCTCTGAGACCAGATCATAGATATAGGTAGGTGGAAAAGGCTGCCCCACCACCTGGTACAGGGTGCACTCCCACTTGAGCTCCATCTGACTTCCTCTTGTGTGTTTGGTTCTTTACCAACACCCGGTCTCCTGGTCGCAGTGGCAGTTTTTCCAGAAAGGGGTCAGGATCCATCTCCTTGTGCTTGTCATACAACAGCTGCTTGCCTTTTGCACCCGCTCCCAATGTTCCTGCACTCAAGAACTGGGAATTCTGGGTGGAAAATGTTCCTATGTCCCCAAGCATTAAAAAAAAGGGTGTGTAGCCGATGGACTTATGGACTGTCTTATTATAGGCCCACACCACAGCCCCCACATGTTGGTGCCACCGATTTCGATAACTCAGTTCTGGGGTCCATGGCATTCCCAGCAGGGTGCTGTTGAACCATTAGCAGGCGCCTTTGCCTGAGGTGATGTTGGACTAACGAATGCCACTTGGGCAACAGAGTTCAATTCATGATTTCCGACTTAAAGTCACAAATTTAGTGAAGTGGTCAACAAAGACTAAGGTGCAGTGATAGCCAGAAGGTGTGCTGGAGATCATCAGGAAGTCCATGGTCACCAATTTGAAGGGCTCAGGCATGGTTATTGTTGTCTTCTCAGAGGGAGCGCTGTGTATGGTACAACTGTCAAACTCCTGCCAAGACGTGTGTACCCAGTCCGACAAATAGGGGCAGAAGAAGTATCTCTGAACTAATGACTGAGTCAGATCTAACCCGAAATGGAGCACCTGACAGATTTACAGGATATGTGACTGGGGGATATCCAGCTCTTTGGGGGTAATGATGATCCCATGATCCCCTATTGCCCGGGGGTCTCATGAGTTGTCAGTCCGCCCCTGCTCTTGGCCATCCTGCACTTTGGTCAGAACAACCCCCAGACCCTGTAGACTCCCATCTGTGGATATCCAGAAGGCCTGGGTGTAGTCCACATAGGCCACCAATGACGTGTAGGTAGGTTTCTGCTTTACGTTTCAAATTGCTGTTGCTTGGGGTCATGCTATTGGGCCTGAATAGAAAGTGAAGGTCCTCTCTTTTATAGGTGTTGTGTTCCCTCAAGAACTGAGTAAGTGGGGCAGCCATCTGGGGGGTGCTACTTCAGGATGAATCGCCAGTAGTACCCCACTAAACCCAAGAAGGAGAGCAGCTCAGTGATAGTTTTTGGAGGGTGCCAGTCCTGAACAGTTTGTACCTTGGCTGGGTCTGGAGACAACATGCCCCAAGTACTGTATCTTCTTCGTCATCATGTGGCACTTACTGGGTGTCACAATTGCGGCGTCAGACCCCAGACCTTCTCACCAAACTCGTGACCGAAGGACTAGCAGATCTAAAACCGCGATGTCACATGCGTAACAATGCCACACTCAGCTGCACCCTGCACAATGATTTTTCAGCTAATTGGACCACAATCGATGCACCGGCAGCCTGAGCGCTTGTTACTGGGTCAGGTTAATTACGCAATTAACCCTTCACACTGCCACCACCTCCTTTTTGTACAGAGAAAGAGAAAACTCGGCGATATCAGTTATAACACTATAATGGTTGAGGTAATTGTCTGTATAGCACGGTCACCGCAGGCCGGTTATACAGAGGGTTTAACAAACACAGTAGCGTTCTCTTTAGAGGCAGGAATTCGTAAATTGCAATAAAGCGCTAATAGAAACAGTTCAACACTTTCAGAAGGAAAGATTTATTACTAAAAGGTCAAACGGGTGCAATAAAAATATTTACAGAAAAAGATGTAACTAAGATATATATATAAATATACAGAGACCAACAGCACAGCAAAGAGATATCAGAAAGAGGTGAAAGGGTTAAGGTACTTGCCAAAGTCCTGGGTTAGCAGATCCAAGTTTCAGAGCAAAAGGGCACGGGTCTACCCAGGTGGTACTGATGTTAAAATGGGAGACGTCTTCAACTTTCACTCTTAGGCCTGACAGCCTATTTTTTAGTCCCCAGCAGGGGGTGTCTCTGAAGTCAAGGACCAATACCCCGTTTAGGGCATGTAGGTATGGGCAGATACCTCAACTAGAGCGCCAAATCTCCCATAACTCATATTTTGGCCCATAACTTTCCATCTGCACAAGTGACATTCCACGCACGGGTAGATTATTAGGCAGACAAGTCTGAGGATTGATAGATATGAATTATGAAATTATACACTGAACGGTTCATGAGATCTATTTGTCGGCTTTCCTATGTATTCGAGACAATGCGAGTGACCTACCAAACCGTTCGCCTTCTCGTGGCCAATCTGAAGATATGTCCGGTTTTTAGGTAAGTCTCTCATATTCCAAGATATGAGACATAGGGGAAAATGGATTTTAACAAAGGTTATCTGGTTGTGTTTCCTGGGAATGTTCTTTGAACTCCGGGGAAAGCTTGCCTTGTCTTATTCGAGGTGTTCAATTGCACAGGTTCTTTGGACAGCTAGGCCCCGGCTCAGAGAGGTGTTTTATAGCTCTGGGCTCCCTGCTGGCTCTAGCCTGCCAGTGACCCACAACCAGATGTCACTGTGGCTGAACAGAGAGGAAGGGGGAGAATAAAGGGGAGATATGTTTGTCACGATGGTTAACCCCTTTGCCAAGATGGAGGTTGAAGTCAAAATGGTTGAACCGCGTCCATCTCTAGGTATACGCTGTTACACTGGGTTTTTAGCTTTAGTCCATATTGTACCAAATGGCAGAATACCAGGTCAAAATGTTTTACGCATTCTTCGAAAGTATTGGACTTTCCATTGGGCCATGGAAGGTGCTGGGGGCATTAATGAGGTTGAAAGGAATGCAATTAAACTCAAACAGTACCAGGGGTGTGATGAATGTGGTCTTCTCTCCTGGTCCTGCCACTCCCATCCAAGGTGAAGAAGAACTTGGCTTGTCCAAGGCCCATTAAGGATTCCTCAACCCGAAAAAGTGGATAGGCATCCCAATGAGTTTACGGTAGTCTACACAGAACTGTAGGCTACCATCCTCTCTGACGAAGCTAAGCTAAGTGAAACGCATTGACATCACTGGAACTTCTAGTGACGTGTTGTAGACATGTCCACGATGCCTATTCATGTTACAACGGTGCTGTGGGAGGCACGGGAGCTTGATCCATCTTTCGAATGCCAACCGACAGTGAGGAGCAAATACTGTATATTGGGTCTCGTCTCAGGATTCCATAGCTATCTGTAGAGGGGCTATATCAATTCCACCCCTGGTTGGGCCTCTAAGATACAGTGGCGAGGCACCATGTTGAGATCAGCCAAGGTGGCTTGTCTTGACAAGAGATTGGGTGGTTTTCCCTGGTTGAAGAGTTGAACTTTTTTGGCAAGCTAGGGGGCAACTCCAGCCTTTTCAAAATATCTATGCCCACCACAATAGACACTGCTGGGTTGACTGGGTTGCAGGTCACCACCACCCCTACCCATTCCACCACCTGGTCTTTGATTTGAATCCTCACCTAAGTGATACCTTCTACCAGGATAGGTAGATTATTGGCCACTCTGAGAGATAGCCAACTGGAGTTTAGTTATTCTCATGCTCCAAATCTCTGCACATAGAAATCATAATCCATGACAGTGACCTCTGACCTGGGATCTATTGGGCATGAGACTTGTTGCCGTTGACTAGGGCAGCTACCACTGGGCTCCATGTGACCATGTCCTCTGACTTGCTAGGATTTTGGGTTGTCTGTCCGGGGGATAGTCCCTCTGCCAAGGGAGTCAGCAGTTAAATAAAGGCCTGGAGGGGTTTCTGAATCCAGACCACCCACAGTTCATGGATAAGTTTCTGTAATGGCTCATCATCAGCATCTCTGTTCCTCCTCGGGGTCCCTGCCCAGTGAATTTTCACCCTTATGGGTTTGGGGTAAGTCCTTTTAAGATGAGGTAACTTCCTGTTTCAAGGTGACCACATCCTGCTCTAGCTTTGCCAGCGTGGTTTGCATGTCTGACAGGGATGAAGGTGCCAGAGCCTCCTCCTTGAGAGACGCAGGGTCAAATTGATTGGTCACTGCCAATGTTACTACAGCCTCTTCTTGTTCCCACGAAACTGCATCCACCACAGCAATGTGGAAGGTGGTGGAAGGTTGCACTTTAACTTTTTCTTGCAAGGCTCTCTGGACTGGGCAGCCTTCACGCCCGCTATGAACTGATCCCTTAGTATATGGTCTGAATCAGTGATGTCAGCACAGCTGCATACATCCCTCTTTTTCAGGTGCCCCCAGAGGTTCTGCATCACTTCAGTATCAGTGAGATTCTCATCCTCCTGCTGTTTCCTTAAGAAGAACCTTCACCTCCAGAAGCAGTATCTTCTCTCCAAACAGGCCCTCCAAGTCTGACACAATCCATTCTAGAGTAGTTTGCACCTGTTCTGGTAGTGCCATCACCACGTGGCAGCCGCCATCCTCTAGGGCATTAATATCCAGCTCTGCCACCAGCTGGGTCAGAACCTGGTACTGGCCCGTGGCACTCTCCAGTCTCTCCTCCCACTCTGTCAGGGGAATCTTAGAGCCATTCAACTTTGGTATTAGGGCTAAGGTTGATCCTAGCAGAGCCATGCTGGAGACCAATCCTTATGCACCTGCTGCTCAGACCGAACACCATGGCAGAACCAAGCCCCGTCTGAGCAGTCTCCAGTAAAGTTCCTATGGATGATCCCAGTGGTGTGTGGCCCTCCTTCTCAGACTTGCATCATCTGCTACAGGAGTGAGTGGGCCCCGTGCCGGTCTGATCCTTCACAGCCTAAAGCCGCGACGAAGTTGAGTTTGATGCCCCCTCCGCTGTACGTGGTCTAGGTGTGCTCATGCTTGACGCTCTCCTGGTTCACCTCCTCATTCTTCTTTCTCCCTCATCAGCCAGGCTGGAGGGTGATGTCACTTTCAGGACTCAGAACACAAAGGGGTGATTTACGTAAAGCAAATAGACACGTGCTGTAACGGAACCGGACCCCGACTGAACTCGGGTATTTCCGCTAGACTCCCGCTTCCCCGTCCGAACACCGACCACGGACCCCACCGCTGACCATACAAGACCAGACGAGACCAGTCTTAAAATAAATCAGGAAATAGACTACATTATTTTAACACAGATACAAGATATATACATTCAAGGGAACAATTCCCCCCTCCCTGCATAAGGACACAGGGCGGGGCAAACCACATCTAGCAACAAGAGACGCACAGCAGACACCCCCCACCAAGCCAATACACAAACACATACATCCCATAATAGTTTGCTCCCAAGCAAGACACACAATAGAACAATGGGATGCAGCCACATGGCATTAATATTAGGACAGATCACCCTGTACCTCTAACAGGCACAGGGGGACTTACACATAAGAGGGATATGGGGAGCTGAGACAGGGGTCTCCCCACCTCTCCAAAGGGGGCTGTGTTCCATGGGCCCCCCACCCAAAGTCACTCCCGTCATGCGCACCCTCCAAGTGCAATGGCTCTAGAGCTTAAGGAGGGAGAGCTCTGCTGACTTCCATCATCCAATCATCTGGAAGCAAAAATGCTGTTTTTTTTCCATGCATGTGATTGGGTATTCTTTTTAAAGTTTTACCCCATTTACTAAGCTACTGCACCTGCAAACGTGTCTCGTTGCCTTTAGTAAATCCATCCCAAAGAGACCATCAGCAGCCATGTTCCTTTTCAAGGGCCCCCTCCACTCTTCCCAGATATTGGTTGGGAATCTCCAAACAAACAGAAGATTTCCCATCACACTTACCGGAGAGCCTGCTGAGGAAAAAGAATTGCTCCGGTCTAACAATTCACATTAAAAACAGAGGATTTACTCGCACACGTTTGCAAATCCATCCTGGAAGCCGCAGTGCCTGGCCAAGGTTCCTCTGTATCCTGCGGCCCCGGCTCTATATTTGGGAGTCTCCATTTTGGAGTATATACAGGTGAAACTGGAAAAATGAGAATCTGGTGCATTCATTCATTGATTCATTCATTCATTTATTTATTTCAGTGCAGCAACTTAGAAGGTGACACTAATATATGAGACTCATTCCATGCAAAGCAAGATAGTTCAAGCCGTGATTTGTCATCATTGTGATGATTATGGCTTACAGCTCATGAAAACCCCAAATCCACAATCTCAGAAAATGAGAATATTCCATGCAATCAATAAAACACGGATTGTACATAGAACAATATCGCACCTCTGAAAAGTAGAAGCTGCATATGTACTCAGTACTTGGTTTGGGCCCCTTTTGCAGCAATTACTGCCTCAATGCGGCGTGGCATGGAAGCTATCAGCCTGTGGCACTGCTGAGGTGTTATGGAAGACCAGGATGCTTCAATAGCGGCCTTCAGCTCTTCTGCATTGTTCGGTCTCATGTCTCTCATCTTTCTCTTGGCAATGCCCCATAGATTCTCTATGGGGTTCAGGTCAGGCTTGTTTGCTGGCCAATCAAGCACAGTAATCCCACGGTCATTGAACCAGGTTTTGGTGCTTTTGGCAGTGTGGGCGGAGCCAAGTCCTGCTGGAAATGAAGTCAGCATCCCCATAAAGCTCGTCTGCGGAAGGAAGTATGAAGTGCTCCAAAATCTCCTGGTAGACGGCTGCGCTGACCCTGGACTTAATGAAGCACAGAGGACCAACACCAGCAGATGACATGGCTCCCCAAATCAACACAGACTGTGGAAACTTCACACTGGACTTCAAGCATCTTGCAGTGTGTGCCTCTCCATTCTTCCTCCATACTCGGGGTCCTTGGGCCTTTCCATTCTTCCTCCATACTCGGGGTCCTTGGGCCTTTCCATTCTTCCTCCATACTCGGGGTCCTTGGGCCTCTCCATTCTTCCTCCATACTCGGGGTCCTTGGGCCTTTCCATTCTTCCTCCATACTCGGGGTCCTTGGGCCTCTCCATTCTTCCTCCATACTCGGGGTCCTTGGGCCTTTCCATTCTTCCTCCATACTCGGGGTCCTTGGGCCTCTCCATTCTTCCTCCATACTCGGGGTCCTTGGGCCTTTCCATTCTTCCTCCATACTCGGGGTCCTTGGGCCTCTCCATTCTTCCTCCATACTCGGGGTCCTTGGGCCTTTCCATTCTTCCTCCATACTCGGGGTCCTTGGGCCTCTCCATTCTTCCTCCATACTCGGGGTCCTTGGGCCTCTCCATTCTTCCTTGTTACTCGGGGTCCTTGGGCCTCTCCATTCTTCCTCCATACTCCGGGTCCTTGGGCCTCTCCATTCCTTCTCCATACTCGGGGTCCTTGGGCCTCTCCATTCTTCCTCCACACTCCGGGTCCTTGTGCCTCTCCATTCTTCCTCCATACTCCGGGTCCTTGGGCCTCTCCATTCTTCCTTCATACTCGGGGTCCTTGGGCCTCTCCATTCTTCCTCCACACTCCAGGTCCTTGTGCCTCTCCATTCTTCCTCCATACTCCGGGTGCTTGGGCCTCTCCATTCTTCCTCCATACTCGGGGTCCTTGGGCCTCTCCATTCTTCCTCCATACTCGGGGTCCTTGGGCCTCTCCATTCTTCCTCCATACTCAGGGTCCTTGGGCCTCTCCATTCTTCCTCCACACTCCAGGTCCTTGTGCCTCTCCATTCTTCCTCCATATTCGGGGTCCTTGGGCCTCTCCATTCTTCCTCCATACTCGGGGTCCTTGATCCGGGTCTTCCCGTTCTCCCCTCGGTAAGCGGTCTTCCCGTTCTCCCCTCGGTAAGCGGTCTTTCCGTTCTCCCCCTCGGTAAGCGGTCTCCCCGTTCTCCCCTCGGTAAGCGGTCTCCCCGTTCTCCCCTCGGTAAGTGGTCTCCCCGTTCTCCCCTTGGTAAGCGGTCTTCCCGTTCTCCCCTCGGTAAGCGGTCTTCCCGTTCTCCCCACGGTAAGCGGTCTCCCCGTTCTCCCCTCGGTAAGCGGTCTCCCCTCGGTAAGCGGTCTCCCCGTTCTCACCTCGGTAACCGTTCTTCCCGTTCTCCCCTCGGTAAGCGGTCTTCCTGTTCTCCCCTCGGTAAGCGGTCTTTCCGTTCTCCCCTCAGTAAGCGGTCTCCCGTTCTCCCCTCGGTAAGCGTTCTCCCCGTTCTCCCCTCGGTAAGCGGTCTCCCAGTTCTCCCCTCGGTAAGCGGTCTCCCCGTTCTCCCCTCGGTAAGCGGTCTTCCCGTTCTCCCCTCGGTAAGCGGTCTTCCTGTTCTCCCCTCGGTAAGCGGTCTTTCCGTTCTCCCCTCAGTAAGCGGTCTCCCGTTCTCCCCTCGTTAAGCGGTCTCCCCGTTCTCCCCTCGGTAAGCGGTCTCCCCGTTCTCCCCTCGGTAAGCGGTCTCCCCGTTCTCCCCTCGGTAAGCGGTCTTCCCGTTCTCCCCTCGGTAAGCGGTCTCCCCGTTCTCCCCTCGGTAAGCGGTCTCCCCGTTCTCCCCTCGGTAAGCGGTCTTCCCGTTCTCCCCTCGGTAAGCGGTCTTCCCCGTTCTCCCCTCGGTAAGCGTCTCCCCGTTCTCCCCTCGGTAAGCGGTCTCCCCCGTTCTCCCCTCGGTAAGCGGTCTCCCCGTCTTCTCCCCTCGGTAAGCGGTCTTCCTGTTCTCTTCCCTCGGTAAGTGGTCTCCCCGTTCTCCCCGGTAATTGGTCTCCCCGTTCTCCCCTCGGTAAGCGGTCTCCCGTTCTCCCCTCGGTAAGCGGTCTTCCTGTTCTCCCCTCGGTAAGTGGTCTTCCCGTTCTCCCCCTCGGTAAGCGGTCTTCCCGTTCTCCCCTCGGTAAGCGGTGTCCCCGTTCTCCCCTCGGTAAGCGGTCTCCCCTTGGTAAGCGGTCTCCCCGTTCTCACCTCGGTAACCGTTCTTCCCCGTTCTCCCCTCGGTAAGCGGTCTTCCTGTTCTCCCCTCGGTAAGCGGTCTTTCCGTTCTCCCCTCAGTAAGCGGTCTCCCGTTCTCCCCTCGGTAAGCGATCTCCCCGTTCTCCCCTCGGTAAGCGGTCTCCCAGTTCTCCCCTCGGTAAGCGGTCTCCCCGTTCTCCCCTCGGTAAGGGGTCTTCCCGTTCTCCCCTTGGTAAGCGGTCTCCCCGTTCTCCCCTCGGTAAGCGGTCTTCCCGTTCTCCCCTCGGTAAGCGGTCTTCCCGTTCTCCCCTCGGTAAGCGGTCTCCCCGTTCTCCCCTCGGTAAGCGGTCTCCCCGTTCTCCCCTCGGTAACCGTTCTTCCCATTCTCCCCTCGGTAAGCGGTCTTCCTGTTCTCCCCTCGGTAAGTGGTCTCCCCGTTCTCCCCTCGGTAGTTGGTCTCCCCGCTCTCCCCTCGGTAAGCGGTCTCCCCGTTCTCCCCTCGGTAATTGGTCTCCCTGTTCTCCCCTTGGTAAGCGGTCTCCCCGTTCTCCCCTCGGTAATTGGTCTCCCCGTTCTCCCCTCGGTAATTGGTCTTCCCGTTCTCCCCTCGGTAATTGGTCTCCCTGTTCTCCCCTCGGTAAGCAGTCTTCCTGTTCTCCCCTCGGTAAGTGGCCCTCCTGTTCTCCCCTTGGTAAGCGGTCTCCCCGTTCTCCCCTCAGTAATTGGTCTCCCTGTTCTCCCCTCGGTAAGCGGTCTCCCCGTTCTCCCCTCGGTAATTGGTCTCCCCGTTCTCCCCTCGGTAATTGGTCTTCCTGGTCTCCCCTCGGTAATTGGTCTCCCTGTTCTCCCCTCGGTAAGCCGTCTTCCCGTTCTCTCCTCGGTAAGCCGTCTTCCCGTTCTCCCCTCGGTAAGCGGTCTTCCTGTTCTCCCCTCGGTAAGCGGTCTTCCCGTTCTCCCCTCGGTAAGCGGTCTTCCCGTTCTCCCCTCGGTAAGCCGTCTTCCTGTTCTCTCCTCGGTAAGCCGTCTTCCCGTTCTCCCCTCGGTAAGCGGTCTTCCTGTTCTCCCCTCGGTAAGCGGTCTTCCCGTTCTCCCCTCGGTAAGCGGTCTTCCTGTTCTCCCCTCGGTAAGCGGTCTTCCCGTTCTCCCCTAGGTAAAGCTGTATATGTTAGCAGCTGTTATGTAGACAGACATTCTGCACTGTTTAGGATAATGGGGACTTGTAGTCGTTCCCTTCTCTAGAGTTCATACTGTGCTGATTACTGCTGTATTGTACTGTAGAGTTTTGGGTGTGGGTGGGGAACCAGGTGCCAGACTGGTGGGGGGGTGAAGGTGTTATGACAGTAGGAAGGTAAAATCACTTGGTTGAGTCCAGGACGGCATATATATCTGTCCCAGATTCAGGCTCTATGTGTATTTGTTCCACTAGGGGGAAGTGCTGAGCCTTCAGCATTGAGGTAATGAGCCCAGCTGAAGGTAGTGGGCTCATTAGGGCCTCTATAAAACTTCCCAGCATGCTTAGGGAGTGGCTCCATCCTGGAACCAGATCTGTGCCTGAGTAGACTGGGGAGCGCCATACTTATCTGAGTGCGGTGAGACAAAGGCCTGTGTGACCAGCCTCCAACTGATAAGGACTGGGTGTGGCCAGCTTCCAACTGATAGGGACTGGGTGTGGCCAGCCTCTAACTGATAGGGACTGGGTGTGGTCAGCCTCCAACTGATAGGGACTGGGTGTGGCCAGCCTCCAACTAATAGGGACTGGGTGTCGCCAGCCTCCAACTGATAGGGACTGGGTGTGGTCAGCCTCCAACTGATAGGGACTGGGTGTGACCAGCCCCCAACTGATAGGGACTGGGTGTGGCCAGCCCCCAACTGATAGGGACTGGGTGTGGCCAGCCCCCAACTGATAGGGACTGGGTGTGGCCAGCCCCCAACTGATAGGGACTGGGTGTGGCCAGCCTCCAACTGATAGGGACTGGGAGTGGCCAGCCTCCAACTGATATGGACTGGGTGTAGCACAAGGCTGCCCCTAGTGGATAGCTAGGGAAGCGATTGTATAGTAAGTGGTCAAGTTGGCAAAGATTTCATTTCATGTTTCTTTTTGGTTGGATGTTTTCTTGTAAATAGTGTAAATAAACCGCACCTTTTTGTTTTTCACCAACATTTTGCTGTGCCTTTTTTTTTGTGTTGTGAACTCACCCAGGGGGTCACACACACCCCGAGGGGGTCATACACACCCCGGGGGGTCACACACACCCGCTGCCGAGCAAACCCCATTACACTGTAAATACTGAGCTGTGTTCAACAAAGATTGATTCATTTCACCCTACATGAAGTTCCGACTTGTGGTTTGGGATATCGGGGAAGGATTGGTTTTGAGCTCTAATACCTGCCTTGGCAGAGCGCTGGAAGACTTGCAGGACAAGAGGACCATTGGCTGAGACACATCGCTCCGCATGAGGAAGCCCAGGCCGAACGGTTCCACCAAAATTGGTTGGCAGCGGTGGGATCTTTCCTCATTGTGGAGAAAGTCCAAACCACCAATCGGGCCCCATCTTTGTCACGGAGACATCCCTGCTCAGCCAGATGGATATACGGGACCTCTGGAAGCCAGCTCTCCAAAGCCTGCTTGTCGCTCGGGGAGGTATCGCTGGCTCCAAGACCAGAGAGGAACTGTTGGACGAGATTATGGCCCTAGACCAAGCGGATGCACACCCCACTTCACCTGACGCACACTTCGCTACACTTGAAGCGAACACTGCTCCGCCCGAAGCGAACTCTGCTTCACAGGATGAGTTGGAGGAACAGAGCAGCTTATCGGTCCATGAAACGCCAGGCCCGCTTAGCACTGTACGGAGACCCCTATACATTCGGATTTACAAGAGGTGGAGTGGCATTTGGCACCACCTCCAAACAGATTTCCAAGGCCCTGCACGATGCCACCCAACTGCGGCTTAGTCACTCCAGGTCATCAACCGAGGACTCGGTCTGGGAGAGGTTTACCTCCCGCCTTCTCCAGACTGCAACTGGACCAAAGAAAATTCCCTACGCTGCTTTTAAAACTTTCTCGGAGGCGGATGGGGACATTGACAGCTTTCTTGAGGACTTTGAATGGTTGTGCACCATCCATGGTGTGGGGGCCCAAGACCGGGTTCCCATTTTGAGCAGCAAGCTAACCGGTCGGGCTGCAGACGCATTCAGGACTGTACCCGACAGCTACTGCTTGGATTATGATTTTGTTAAGGAACACTTGTTGGCCCGCTACGCTCTCACCCCAGAGGCGTACCGCTTAAAGTTCCGGACACTCAAGAAGAAACCCCAGGACACCTTCACTGAATGGGGACATCAGTTACAACACACTGCCAGCAGCTGGGTCCGAGGGTGTCAGATCACCAAGCTAGAGGAACTGTTACAACTGCTGTTACTGGAGCAGTTTTACAATGGACTTCCAGGGGATGTTAGACATTGGGTCCGGGACAAACACCCCCTAACCTTAGCCGACGCTAGTCGCTGGGCAGATGAGTACCTGGACAACAGGAGGCTAACCGAGCCCACCATTCCCCCTGCACCTCGTCCACAACCAGTGGTGCCCACTCTGGTCACCCGAGAATGCCTCAGACCACCCACACCTTCTGACCCAAAGCGGTCTGACCAACGCTGTTATGGTTGCAGCCAAACAGGGCACATCCGCATTCATTGCCCCCGGAAACCACCAAGGCCCCAGACCAGCCAACCCCCTCGGGGCACTTCCAACTGACCCACCACTCCCTATGGCCGAGCCTCAGACTACTCCCTACAGGACCACCCGAGTGACACCGCCTCTTCATGGAGGAATTTTACCACCGAGGATGAGGACATCGGGGTCTTTCATGAGGCTAACCATCTCCAGGCTGCCACCCCCCGGACAATCGCCGACATCATTAACAGGTTTTCCATGTTAATGGACATCGGGCCCAAGGATTATGGGACACTGGGGCCACACTCACCCTAGTCCAACCCCAACTGG